CTCCACCCTTGTAGCGATGGCCTCCACCCTAGTAGCAATGGCCTCCACCCTAGTGGCAATGGCCTCCAACCTAGAGGAAATCGTGTAGGACTCCTCGGTGCTGGCGACGCTGATGACCTTGCGCGCCGACCCCAACATCATGTCACGCTCGGGGATCTCCGCTGCCGGGGCACCCGGAGCACGACCAACAGCGGTTTTTTGGGCCGTGAAAGAGCGGTTTTTGGAGCGGCCTTTCTTTGAGGGTGGTGTGGAGTGGCCAGGTCTTCTTGAAGCATCTTGAAGCCATGAAATCCAATTGGAGAAGCACAGGGGATGGCAATAGGAAGACGACGTGAGTTCTTGTTCAATCTTGTTCAAGGTTAGCGTTGGAATTGAGATAGGGACACATACATCAGAATTAATATGCAGGCTAGATGAATGGTTTGAACATCTTGAATCATTTGCCCAGTAGTTTTCTTGTCGTTGGTTCTATTAGCATCGATGGTGTAGCTTCTCCCTGGTGGGAGCTTCCAAGTACGACTTTCACCGTGTTTGCTTTCTTGCTGGGCAACCGATGCACCACCTGGGAATGAATTGAAAGACCTATTTCATCAGAACTTTTAGTGTGTATATATATATATATTGTGGATTTCAATGGATTTCACTGGTATATGATGTGCAATATGAATGGATTAGGATTGGATGTCTTTAATCCACCATGCTGCCTGGCATACCGTTCTTTTTCTTGGGGTTGTGCATCTGTTTGGTGGCGGTGAGCTGCAAGAGAGAAGAGAGCTATAGACTAGAGAGCTCCATTTCCAGAATCAGTTGTTGTGATTGTGACCTCCCTCGTGCCATTCTAACCAAAAAAGCGTGGTCCTGAACTGTTGCCCTTGGCGCCTACTATTCTCTCGCTCTATATGCAGTATGGTGTGGCCAAATGAAAGGTTGAAGATGATAGAAGTACATCGCGGAAAGCCGGAAAGCCCCACCCAAACCTCGACTTTGAAGAACACATCGTGTTTCTGATTGAAAGACATCGTGACGTCGTGTTTTTTGGTGACCCCTACGTTTTCTGCGTGTTTGGTTGGTGAAGGTATAGTTAGAAAGCAGACGAATGCGGTTTTTGGTGCCTGGAGTCACCAAGAAGGGCAAATGGACTGTGAGTTCTGCAGAGGGCATCGGTGCAGGCATGGCTGGTGCGCCGGCCAAGCCATGTCCAAGTCATGCTGGAGTACCGTGCAGATTTGTACGGCAGCGCTCTAGCGGCACTTTCACCAAGGGCGCATAAGGGCACCAAATCCACTACTCATGGGGCTGGCACACATTGACATATCATCTAATATCATGTAATCATATAAAAACCATTGACATATATGAATCTAGTTTATATCTCATGTATCAGGTGATTTTCTGAGTACTTTTGAAACAGAGACCCGGCAAACGTGTGGGAACTGGCCTCCGAGAATCGGCGAATGTGTTCCCGTACCGTTGGGTATTTCACCTGAAGGACCGACCAACCCGTGTTGCAAACCGTATATCGGTTGCTTTCCCTTGATGCAGATGAGAGGATGTTTGCTTCCACTTAGATGTTGGAGACAAGACAGGTGCGTCCACTTCTGGCGTTTTGGATGGTTTTCATATATAGGTCGGGAGCGGGGTATCAATGGGGAGCGACCGGAGCCGGAGCTCGGAGCGACCAAACGGGAGTGCCCCAAGCCCAACAGCTGAATGTGTGCTTGTTCATGAATAGGATCCAGCCAAAAGGCATGAAAGAATGCGCAGAAGGTCAGGTCTAGGCCTCATGTATCATGTAGATATGTCTCTCGCTTTGGTGGGACCCAAATTGCTTGGACTTCGACTTGTTCCAGCACCTCTCCGACTGGGACGGGTGATTTTTCGGATATTGACATGTCTTTACCGTAGGGGCGGGACAAGCTGCAGTGGTTCCTGCAAGACCCCCCGCAAAGCGGCCTTATAAATGATTGAGGAAGAAGCAAACTATATCAAACAAGTGTACTGCACGCCCTGCATGTCGGTCTCCACCTTGTCCTGTTCCCCTCCTGCAGCTGAGCTGCTCACGAATTCAGGCTTCCCATTAAATGGCACCGCTGGACGGGCCTCACCGGAAACCGTGCTGGCCTTGCTGGAGTGCAGGTTGCTTGTCGATGAGAGATGAGAGCTTGTTTCATGCGAGCCAGCCACGGTGTGGTGCTTCTGGGTGGTGTGAAAGCAGATCTGTTCGACCTTGTTCGACCTTTCAATGCTCCAACACACCAACTCCGAAGGTCGTCTTCACCACACCCAACCCATGGTTTTCGGGTCCAGCCATACCTGGTTTTGCTTCAGGTGATCTTATTCCTATGGATACATCCCCTTCTGGGGAATATGTATGCCCCATGTGGCAAACCATCCTGGAAAACCTTTAAGAGTCGATCTTTCAGAACCTGTAAGAGTCGATCATGTGTTTTTGTTGAGATGGAAAAGGCAACTGAACCATTCACAGGGCCCTGGTAGTTAATGGGATATACCCAAACCACATAGGGGATCATAGGGGGTGGACATCCATGATTGGACACCCACCCATGGCAAGTGCCGTACGACCAGTCCAGTCCAAGCCAGTCAATGGCTTTTGCCGAACCACCGAAATCTTTTCTCACAACTGAATGAGAAAACCAATGAAGTGAGGCAACAATGCAATGAGGCGCACATCGTATTAATCATGAGAAACCACATCTAAGAAAAATCAAGAGCCGATTTGGGAATGGTCTTAAGAGTCCTATACCGAAGGCAGCTACCGAAGGCTCGGGGTCTACGTGGGTGCTTTTGCGTTTTCCTCTTTGGTAGGTGCGACCCCACCGAGCATACGGAGCAAGGCACGGTCGCGGCACGTCCCGGGGCGCGCTCGGAGTCACGTTCGACGGGGTGCCGAACGAACGGACGAAACCGCCCAACTCCATGTGACGAAGCTGGTGCCTTCTGCTTTTTTGGGGGGAAGAAGGGGACCCTCCACGTGAATACGAAGAGATCAACATGGAGGGGCCCGGGGCAACTCTTCCGGTTAGGGGCGGGTGGCAAGTTGACACTCGCGACAGGGCGTTGACAGGGTAGGTCGACCTCGTGATAGGGCCATGCTATTAACGGTCCTATACCCAGACATTCCATGTACGAATGTTATGATTGTGCTTTTGCAATCCCATTGATCCCTCAATTCAACCATCCCTCAATCCCCTAAAGCGCTCTGGCTGTACCCCTCAAATCAGTTGACCTGGAAGGCATCGGCCCCGTTGCCGCTCTGTTTTCGCTGCGCAGGCTTCGGCGCGCTGCACTCCGTGGGCGTCTTTGGTCGGGCCAACCTCCGGTGCTTGGAAACCGCTCGTTTGCTCCTGGACTGGCGCGCGGACGCGCCCCGAGCGCAAAAACGTGGGGGGGAAGCGGAGAAAGCATGGAAAAACGCACTGGGGCTGAGGCCCAGTCTCATCATGTCTCTTCTTATCTTCTCGGGCAAGGGAAGAGGGTCCAGAAGTGAGAATGTATGTAATCAATTTGTGAAGATTTAGAGAAGCACCAGAAGCAGCAGAGTCGGAGGGCAAGCAGTTGAGCCAATCACAGCAATTCCCAACTGAATGTTTGCCTTTTTGAATCTAGCGATGCCAGGAGCCCCTAGTAGCGTCCTTGCTCCTAGTAGCGATGCCAGGAGACCCTAGTAGCATTCTTGCTCTTAGTGCGTGGGGCACTTGTGTGAGGTGAATCTTGCAGCGGGAAACTCTGACTGGATGATGACTATGGAGGTCCTAACAGCACGCATGTGACCTGTCGAAAGGAGGTTGTTTGCCGGAGGACGTGGGGGGCAGCAACTTGCTTCAACGAATGGGGCAATTCCGGTAGCATTGCCAAATGTGTTCAATCAAGTGGCATTTGAAACAACAAACGGCACAATGCCGCAGGCTCAGGACCCTTGAGAGCACATCCCTAGCAGCCCCAGTCCTAGAGCCCTGCCCCAACAAAACGGCACCATCGTTGTCACCCAAGCACATGATTGATCTTGGCTCCTCTCCACCTAGATGCCTCGGCACTTGAAGGGGCAGAGATGTTTGGCTTCCCTCAACTCCAACCCCACCTGCTGCAAGGCAGCTGTTTGGAAGCAGAGACAGGGTCGCCATGGCAACAATTTCTGAGCCTCACTAAATGCACCCTAGCCTTCAAAGATCATAAAAGAAGGATTGACCTGGCATTGTAATCTAAAACCCTTAGTAAAACAATAGTTTTCCCTTCAAACCTCAAAAATAGCGGTTACGATGGGCAGTCTACAGCGGCACCTCACCATAGTCTTAGCTTGAAAACTGGTCCTCCAAGTGGTGCACTTGCAAGTCCATTCCCCCCATCACCCCAACATGGTTTTCTGCATGCGCGTGGAACCCCTCGCAGTGGGTACTTGGATCCACGCCCGGCCTTGTTAACATGGGTATATAATGTATATATTATATATAAATATACTTATATGATCTTATATGTATATATTTATAGTTATATAATGAGTTGAATTTATTTTTGAACGAGTATATATATATGAATTATCATATATGACCAGCACCACGGTTAATATATGACCAGCATTACGGTTTTTGGGTGGTTACTGGATGGAACACACATAGGTAAAGGGGTGTCCATAACCACACCGTCCGTGGTGCTGGTACTTAGAACTTTGTTACGGCAAACATAATTGTGTGTGTTTTTTGTTCAGGAGGGTTTGGGTAGTATCTCACTGCAAGACATGCATCTATGCCTACATTGAAGGCAGTGGGGTCGATGTCAGGTCATTGGTTGTTCACGACCAGGCGTATCCCCTGACTCTATTAACCAATGCAAATGTACAGGGCAAGCAGGCAAGCAGCTCGCAAGTAATCCCTGAGAGCTTGTCAAAGTCAAATTTGACACAGTCTTTATGAAATGACCACATATATCACAACCCTGTTTGGTGATTTTATAGGTGATGAACAACATATTCATTTTATCAAGCAGCAGTCTAGGGCCATCTACGTAAGGCAATTAATGAATCTTTGGGATCGGAGCCGTTGACGTCGCCCCAAAAATCCACGCCCCATTTGAGTCGTCCTTGGGCCCACTTATTCCTGGGATACCCCGGCGGTTTGGCCGAACCGCACGTCCTGCGGCGGTTGACGCGTCGCTTCACGAGGCGCGTGGCACTCTTTGGCCTGGCGGACCGGGGAGGGCGGGAGCCATCGACCCAGCTCGGTTGGGCGGGGATGGGCTGTGGACCCCGGTGAACAGGATCTCAAAACGATCCAAATCCGGGTGATTTCGAGGGTCCAAAGGTGTGGTTTTTGTTTTTGCTGTTGTTGTTGTTGTTGCTGCTGCTGCTGTGATTGTTTTGGCCAGGCTTCAGGGAGATTCTTAGACAGCCCCTCATAGCTCGTGATGCACAATGGAGGGCTCTTGGGAGGGCTATGTATATCACACTGTAGATCACCATCCTATGTAAACACATCGAATCTCAACACTCGCATGTACAACCAAACAAATCATATCTCGACTCTAAACGATTCCCTTCCACGATCTTCCCTGCAGATCGCTCCGCAGCCACGCTCCAGAACCACGCCCCACCCGCGCGGTTCAAAGGGGTGCCAACTACCCGGTGGCGCGAGTACGTGCGGTGGCGCTACTCGCTACTCGCGCGCCCGCGGCGTTTCGAGGACTCCACGAGCTACTCGCGGAAGGTGGCCTCCATCCATGGCGCCACGCCGCTGCACATGGCCGCCTTGCAGGGCGACAAGGCGGTTCAACGACGGATGTTCAGCGACCGGGATACGGGGGGGCAGCGCGGACGAGTGGGGTGAAGGTGATAGAGGAAAGAAGTGGATAGAATTTGATGTTTCCAATATGTGTTTCATGGTTTCAATAGTTTTCAATATTGCCATGTTACTGCCCTTAGAAGCCTTAGTGAAGCCTTAGTGGTTTGGATGTTCCATGTGAATCCCAATGCTTGAAGGAGTTTTCGATTGGTTTTGTATGTGTTTGTTTAGTTTTTGGAGGGGTCAGAGAGAGGAGTTGTAGCCATGTCAGTAGTTGAAGGGAGAATGGTTGATGTGGACAGGTTCAGGTACAGTTTGCCAAGGATCTGTCAGTGAAACTGATTGGTGAAGTTCTGGCCTGGTGGGGACTCAATGAAAGGACTCAACTCAACTTGTTAAACCATTCAGGGTTCTCAGGATTTGTCTTATTATTCTTGTGTGGTGGCGGTGGGTCGGACAGGTGAAAATATGGCTCCCGGCGCAGATGATGAAGACGTTCGCAGACCCTAACTACCTTGGGATCATTAAGGAAGAGAAACACCGTTGCCCCGGAGATGTGGCCAAATGATACTCGTGCTTAGTAGAGAATGGGGGGTGGCTGGATCCCAAGGTATCTATCATGGAGGGTCATTCCTTCATTCCGTGCTTTCGTCGCACCAGTCAGTATAGGGGGGTTGCATGAAACATCCTAATAATACCCATACACTCCATGGGACTGGAATATTTGCCGCCCCATTGACCACCCTTGCACCACCCCAACCCTGATCGACAGTCCTATAGCATATGGCAGAGGGTCCATCGCACCATTGGACGGCCTCCGCCCTCCGCCAGGGGCTGGTCAAGCTCCTGTTGGAATATGACGCGGCCGCCCTGGCAGCAGAGATGGATCTGGGTGAATGTACTGGTACAGTAGGGGAATGTGAAGCAGTCAGGACCAACAAATCAGTGATATCGGTGGAGAAGAGATACTGTAGTTTCGATGTGTTCTTTCGCTTGGCACTTGTTTTGTTGCCGATCGGACAGCTTCCTTTTACAAGATTGGCGTGCAAGTACACTCATCGCGAGATCATGTGTTCAACTCTTGCGCAGCTCAGTGTGCTGAATCTTATGGGCACCGTCCGCACCCCCAGCCAAACACCTTTTGAAGCTTTGCCAGTCAACTCCAGTAGATTCAAGGCACCACCAGTCCTTCTTGCGGATGGCCGGGGTCGTTTGGTGGTGGATGGGGTACCGCCGAGGAGCTTTCGCCGAACAGGCGTGGGGACACACCGGAAGATTTGGCCCGCGCCTGTGGGCACCACGACCTGCTGCCCATGCTCTCGGTCTTCCAAGTCTGAGAAACGTGGGTCACGTCGTGTAAGACGGTGGCAAGACCGGACCTGCGGCAACTGATATAAGTCCTTCCCAGCATGAAATCAAACATGGAATCATGAGAATTCCATGGGGGACTCCATGACTCATGTAGATGGAGGAATGTCTCAACATGAACTCCATAGCACATTGCCAATGGCTTGTTTCTTTTGATGTTGTTTGTCCTTGTTTGGTTTGATGTTGTTTGATTTCAAGACTTACCCATGTACCCATGGCATGGGGCTGAAGAGAAGGAGCTCCAGTGGCCGTTCTTCGAAGCGTGAACCCTTCCCTTAGGGAAGGGTCCATCCGGATCTTCATGCGAAGATGTGCGGAATTTGAGCATTTCGAGCAACTGAGCAACATCTCTCCTCCACTCAAAACCGCTCACTGTAGCATATGTTCTACCACGAGAAAAAACATTGATGGACTTGGCCTCCAGACTCCCGAATGGCACGTGAGGAGTTTGAGTTGTATCCTGCACTGGCGGTTTCTGTGTATGGAGCGTGCACGGGTCAACTGGGTGCTTTGTTTGATTGCTTGGTGCCACGCCATTCTAATTCCAGGGTTGTCCTGTTCCAATCAAGATCATCATGTTCTGCAAAGGCTGTAGTATTATATCAAGTTACCAAACTATAGGAAATGTACTTGCCCAGGACGGATGATCGTCTTAGCAACATGTTTCTTTTGGTATTTTCCATGTAGTCCACACGCGACGGCTGCCCTCAAGGCATGTGCGTCCTCCGGTCGTCCTCCGGGACATTCCGCTCTGACAATTACGGTGCGGTCGCGGTCGATGCGCTAATAATGCTAATACGGTCGGGGGTCCACAAGCCCCTGAGAGAAAAGAGAGATCTTGACCTTCACCGGGGCAAAGGCCCATGTATAAAGGCCCACGGTGCCTGGAAAGATGGTCACTAATTAATCAAGATTCTACATGACCCACGTCCATTCGCATGCTGCATGCTGATTTTTTCTAGACCTGCGCACTTGGCGGTGATGGCTATGCTCGGCACCAGTTGATCCGCGTTGATTTAGTTCAGGCTAAACACTGAAGTGGTGTCCTGGCCAGTGATTTTTTTACCCACCCGAAGGTGGTTGGGTGAAAGCAGGAGTGGAGGCCCGTTGTGGTATGACGGCTTTTGTGGACCGGGCAAAAACCTATGTTTGTTTACGGCACTGCCGTGCAGCATGCTTGTGCTTTTGCTATTGTTCCTTCATTATCTTAGATGTGGGCGATTCACGGCCTACTGACCATGTCTAGATTATTCCGATAAACATGGACGTCACGTTTTTTTTTTTTTCTGCATCTTGAGGCTGATGTCATAAGTCTTTGGAGTATCTCTTGGCATTTCTATACATCTATCATAGAACTGCTCATCACTGCAGGAAAAACTGTCAAGCCAATAGGCAAGGATTAGCCAAGCGTTAAAACAACAAGCGTAATGTTCAGTGTTCAAAATCTCAATCTTCAGGAGAAATTGAGTCAAGATTTCCCGCTGCCCACACAAGAGCTTGTTTGAATCTTTTGGAATCTTTCAGGGACTTTGCTAGGCGCTGGGCCTCATTCATTCCCGCGAAGACGTCAAACATCGTCAAACTGTTTCACCGGAAGAAGTCGATAGTGTCTTGGATTGGGGACGTCGAGTCCGGCGATGAAAAGAGTGGCGTCGGCAGTGGCAGTGAAGCTCCCAACACCTCCCAACATTAAGGTTGGTTCCAATGTTGAGCACCAATGTCCAGGGTGGTAACTCTTTTGTGCATATCACTCTACGACAAAAGTGGCCAAGCAGTCTTTCGGTTTGAGTGAGCAATGTTGAGGCTTCCTTTATGGGGACGTGTGTTAATTGCGACGGAAACCAGTGTAATTCCAAACAGTAGTGTTATTCCTACTTGTCTAGTGTGTTTTTTGCGCTTGTCCAAACTTGAGGTGTTTTTTGCAGGGGTTACACGTCGTCGCAAAAAACACTCATTGAACTTTTGAGCGCGCAACGATCTCCAGGATCGCTTTTGAAAAACATTTCGGCCTACCGTCGCAAAAAACACCGGTTTCCGTCGCAATTTACACGCAGCCCCAAGGCGCAAAAAACACCTTGAAGCTAGGACCGGCGCAAAAAACACACTGTCGCAAAAAACACACAAGTAGGAATAACACTACTGTTTGTAATTACGCGGAAAGAATCGACGCAAAAAACACCTCAAGTTTGGACAAGCGCAAAAAACACACTAGACAAGTAGGAATAACACTATTTCGGCCTACCGTCGCAAAAAACACCGGTTTCCGTCGCAATTTACACGCAGCCCTCCTTTATGGCTTCATCCCCAATATATCTCGGGTAGGCATTCCGTGGCATTCCCGCCAATACTGGTATGGACGGAGATGGGTAGTATAGGGACCACAGAGGAAGTATGGGTAGTAGAGGGTACGTAGTATTATAGAAACCGCTGCCAGCATAAGACTGGCCAACTGGCACATACTCTCCACCGGACCAAGCGCACCAAGAAGGGAGGGCTGTCGTCGGACCTCCGTTCCTCTCCGGACCAAGGGAAGCCCCACACGCCGCGGCGACGTCTTCTCTTAAAGATCCAAGACTCCCAGCGGCTACTTGAACTGTAAGGGCCAGCATACCCCCGAAAAGGACATCAAAAAACGAGCGCGTTCAGGGTCAGAAGGATCCTCCCAAACTAGTCTATTCCATGAGTGAATGTAGCGAATCCGCACCAACCTTGGCGGTCGAAGTCCAAAAAGGGATCCAGCGCTCCACCGCAGCTCCACCGCTCCACCAGCCATGGGTGCTGCCCTTTGTAGCGAAGCGCCGCTTCCACATCCACGCGTGCACGTGTGCCGCTTCCCCATGTATGTGGTGAAGGCATGCGCATCGGCGGGCGTGGTGAGGCGACGCAGATATTTCTTGACCATGTGGTTCAAAACCTGGAAAACACCAAGATCACCAAGATATGTTTGATCCAGCATACGGAAGTTTTTATTACTCAGTCTTTGATTTCTGAAGACCTAACCCCAAATAAGCCACCATCCTGTCGCTGTTGCGGGTTTGCTTCTCTCCCGCCCTCACACGCCCTCACAGACACGCGTTTGGTCACGCATCTTTGCAGGTCTCGGACTTCCTGCAGATGACGGGCACGCCGGAGGCGCATGACAGCTTATTGCAGAAGGGTTTGCTTCATCAGTGGGAGCCAGGCCGGAGCGCAGCGTCACTCCAGCGTAGCGTCCAGTGGAGTGATTTCGGCAGATCTTTGCTCCTTTTGTTTCGGCAGAAGGGTCCAAGATCTGCGGCCGAGATCTAGGCGGCTTTAGGAAGTTTGATGAATCAACGGTCAACAATGAGTTTTGTGTGTGTGTGTGTGATGTCCTTACTTCAGATCTACTCTACACAGTCGTGGGCAAACCGTTGTCACTCAAAGAAAAGGCCAACTCGCCAGCCCTTTTGAAGAACTTGGCGCCATTCCTGTTGAGTTGGTGACCCATTCAAGACATCCACGTAATGAGGTGTACGAACATCCATGAAAATCCGCCACCCAAAAAAGCGCCACCACCACCTTTTGGCAGCGCCGCCATCCTCCGCTCCCGTCCGCGTGTTGGGCTCCAGGCATGTTCACACTCTTCGTGTCGCATCAGTGGCTGGGCTCGCAGCACCCCGACCCCGCGGGGCAGCAGCTGGGCGTGTTGCGCGTCGCGCTGCGGCGGATCTTGGAGCAGAGCCTCCAAGTCGAGGAGGATTTGAGCCTTGGCAGGGGGTGATGACCTGGTGGTGCCTGGCGGCTGGAGCAATCTGGGATCAAAGACCCACTTGGGATTGACAACAGGTGCGGCTATATTCGTAGTCATTCTTCACTAACCCAGGCTTTCAGCGCCCAGCATGTGAGACATCGAGACACGGCCCATGCCAAGCTGCCAGATCTGCCACTGCACGAAGCATGCAGGGCCACCATGATCACTTTGGATTCCTTTGGATCACTACAGCCTTGAATCATCTTAGGGAAAGCAGTTTGGGCATGTGTTTGCGCACATTTAAGGAGAAAGAGGAACCACATGAAACCACCACGTTCACAGATAATCCCACCAAGTCCCACGTTTGCCCCGCTTCCAGGAAGCGAAACGCCCAGAATGCTATTGTGTCATCATGGTGTCATCCACTCAGTGTCCGTCACCCAAAACGCCCGTTTCCGTCAAGGACATCCATGACGCCCTCGGCGCGTCTGGCATCTTGGCACCGTGGGCTTTCTAGGTCCGGGAGGTCATGGTTGATGGCCATGTCTGCGAAGAACAGATAGACACTGCATATCTATGAGACATACTAGTAGTTACATGATTTACATTAGGGTGGTTGAAAAAGAGTCAATGCGAGTCAATGTATGTATTGGAATGTTGTAGGTATATATAATATGTGTGTCTTATTTATAATAAACCCACCATGCACGAACTGTTCGGGACAGGCTGTCTCCCAGCGGTCTCTCACGACCGACCGTGCAGCCGCGGCCGTGGCCGCCTGAGGCGCCGGAGCGCATCAAACGGCTGAGCCCGCAGACGCTGCAGCGGATCGAGAGGGGACGCGCTGACAGGTTTTGAGGGACAGGAGTGTCACTGGGAGCCAGCCACCAGTAGCTGTTGCGACCGCTGTTGGTTCGGAGGTTCGCGACCGCTGTTAGGGATCCAGTTCTTTCCGTCAGGAGTTCCCACTTGCTAAGTTGCTCACTGCTTTAGACAGTGGGTCGTTTGCTACAGGGAGTTCCTCTACCGCTCACCGGCTTACCGTTACTAAGACCTGCCAAGGCCACAGCTGAGACACCGGACTCTGCCAGGCTATCTCTTTGTGGATTGGTTTGCGATACCCCAGCCCCTTCGGCAGCCAATGTTCGGGCATGCACACGCTTGTGCGACATGGGGGGGTGCCGTCGCACGAAAAGCGTGTGCATGAACAGAAGGAGGGCCTGGCATGTTGCCCTGATTTGGTGCCTTGATTTCACCTGCAGTGTTTACAAGGCCCATGTTGGAACAGTGGTTTTGTTGTGCCAAATTTCTTTATATAATGTATAAACGTCACCCATTTGGATTGAAGCAACCTCTTCATATGGAGGGCTTTATTGATTCGACCTCGTGCGGAAAGGTTTGTGCAACAAGGGCATGTGGGTGTCTTTTGATGTCGCTGTCGGGGGAATGCGAGGGACGATGAAAGGCCTATGCATGCCGCTGTAGAGCATGTGGCAATGTGATGTTGAGGGCCTCTCTCAACATGTGTAACTGTGTAACTCTCGAAATTGCAGGCCAGAAAGCTACGCGCGACGAACCCACGTTACTAGCCTTTGAGCTGCTTGAGTTGGATGAAAAATTGCCCTTATTGAGACATCCCACTGGAGCCCGCGGCCCTCCTTGTGCCTCGAGGATCACAGCCCGGAAGCACGGGATCAACGAGGACGACACCCGCTCCAATGCGGCGAGGGCGGTGCAAAGCATCCCCGCCTATGTGGAGGCTGGAGGAATAGGTTTGGGATGTGGGTTTCAGAGACTGACTGGTGCTTAGTAGGGAATAAGGGAATGAGCCCCCAATAGAGATTCTATTGGATCCATTCCCTCATTCCCTGCGAGACGCACCAGTCAGACATCTATGAAACGTTACCGTATTACATGAACATCTATGAACTATTTCCATAACACTTTAACACGACTATATAATGGGACTGCCATAAGACTGCCTGTCAGGCCAGGGGTGGTTGATTTCAGGGGCCAATCCATCTGGAGGACCGACCACTCCACCATGTAGCGAACGAGCGGCACCTGGTAGGCAGGTGGTGCTCGCTCGGTCTCCGCCATGACCCACAGCCAATGGGGCAGCATATATAACCCATAGGCTCCATGGGACTGGCATATATGCCACCCCATTGACCCCCCCAAACCACCACCCCAATTGATCGGCATATATGGCAGTACCGGACGACACATCACGCCAGGCTGCGGACCTCTTCTTGGCCTTGGTACCAGTCACTCGCCTGGACTTTCGTACGGCCCATGTTGAAACCGTGATTTTGTGGTTCCGAGTTATTCGATGTTATTCGATACAATGTTGACTTGGCAATTTTCCCCTTTTGGACTGAACACCTCTTGATATGGAGGGTTTTATGCCTACATTGGCTCCTGAAGTGATTCATTTTTGTGAAAACAACCTTTTCGACGGAGAGGTAGTATCCCCAGATCTCAGGAGGAGTTTGTTTACGGGTATTATTTGGCCTTACCAAAGACTCACATTTGGCTTGATAAACATTGACAGTCGTACCACCATACTGTACGACGAATACTTAGAACATAGATTTGAAAAACACAACATATTGTTCTCCCTGGTATATATATGTTTTAAGTTTTAAGCGTATAGTATAGGTTAGAACAACGCCGACATTCTAAGTGAATTGCGTTTAGAATGTTGAACACAGAGGCATAGAACATGAGGCAATACACATAGAACATGCCTTGCATGTACACATAGAACATGTTGACGGCTTTGTACAGACTTCTTTAAACATATACGACCCCTTACACCAAGCGACAGAAACGCGCTGCTACTTATGTCCCCATCGTCCAAGTGCATGGACTCACAAAGGAATCCATGGCACATGCATGAGTGCTCTTTTTGTCTCATCATAGAAAGCTTTATGTATATAGACCTTGAACTTTTCCACTACTCCATAGGCAGCAGCACACCTGCCTTGCCCACCTTGCTACCAAAAGACCTCAGGTGTTCTTGCACTTCACCACTATGTGTATATATACACATGTCCCTTTCACTTATTTATGTTCCTTATTCATATCGTTCTAAGTGTGCATTCCGGGGTGTTCTAAAAACAAAGTTCAAAGTATAAATGGCTTCAGGTTTTGGACAAATGATGTTCTACATGGATGTTTGCAAGCATAGACATGTATAGACTGTATTTATATATGCAGTATACTAATTAATAGGCAGTGTTGGACATAGAAGGCGCCCCCTTCCAAGACCAGTGTCCTTTACTAATTACTAGGGGCCATGTTCATCCATGTTCATCCGTTCTCCATGCCTAAGTTGTGCAAGAGAGAGAGAGAGAGAGTGAGAAAAAATAACAACAGTAGCGACTTGCCCATGGCCCGGCCTTCCTTTTGCCTTAGGAACTTCCTCATGCCGACACTGGCGCCTGGACTGTCAGATGCAGCCGAGGGCGCGTGGGTCCAGTGGTCGGACTCAGGAACCTGAAGAGGGTACCTGGAACCTGAAGGACCCTCCTTGTTTTTGAGAATCAGCCATACTGTAAGCCGCGGTCAGATTACGGGCGAAGGGATAAGCTCAGTACCACCGAAGTTCGGCTGGGCGGTTTCGACAACGACGCGTGACTCGTGCAGCGTCACCGTGACGGGAGTGGTGGAATGAGTGCAGGGTCACCGTGACGGGAGTAGTACATAACACATGCTTTGAATGTAGTGGAATGTAGAATCACATCACATACTCAGGATGGCTCCATGGTTTATCATGGTTTGGTGTGATTGGATCTTTTTGTGTTGCCCCTGGCTGTTTCATCGATTGCAGTATTTCTCATTGGGCTAAACATGCTAAACGACAGTGCTCAGATTCATGAGGGATGCACCGGGATATGCCCAATGTGCTCTTCAAACATGTTGAAACCAGAGGTCGCTCCATAAAGTTGGTTTTTAAATTTTATAATGTTTTCAATTCCTCCTTGAATTCCTCTCAGAGTCGGCCCTCCATAGTAGGGCTCCAACTCTCCATCAGGGTTGTGTTGGTTGTCGGGGGCTTCCCCTTTACACTCCTTGAAAGTATCAACATCACCTGTTTGGTATTCAGAAAAGGGTCATCCAAGTGACCGTTTTCCACTTCCATGATTGTTTCCTGGAGTGTGCCGTAGGTTCTTCATTTTTCCACCAGCCCTGAGGCCTCACCTGCAGCTACACCTCCTGGCTCTCTCGTGGCTGGTGCCGCGCCGAGCTGTGGTGCCGCTGCTTGGTGCAGATCCTGGAGACAACAACCCACCGGGTGTGGTGCATGACCAGTCACACTGATGAAAGATTATCTCTACCACCACTATTTAGAGTCGAAGTTCTGCACACTGTTATAGTTATACAAGCGAAAATGGGATGATAATGCCTAACACAATGGAACATGTCATGTTTCTTTGGATCAACGAATTGCTCGTGTTGGGCTGTGTTCTCCACACCTCCTTGCAGGCGCACCATGTTTTGGTTTGCAGTTCCAGACGGAAAGGCCACACGTTTTTCTGTGAACGGTCAGCGGCGGTAAGTGACCGCTTTGAGAAGACCTCTCCGGTGGAACTGTTTTTTCTCGGCGGAACTGTCACACATACGATACCAAAATGCCACCCAAGAGCCATACCCAGGAAAAATTGATAACCTCGACCTCTTTTGGGAAGCCCCACTTAACCAGAACAGGTGGGGAGGGGTTAAACGTTATTGCCTGTATTTCTGGACACTGAAGAGGTCAGAAATACACCTCGGCGTTTTTGCCGAGGTTTGCTGTCCAACAAGCCTGACACCAGCATCATCGTGATCTATTCCACCGGTGAAGCCGTACCTTGGTTTGGAGGGTCCAGCTGAGGAGGTGTTGATCAGTTGGCTGGCGAAGAAAGATCTCCAGAAGCTCCTTCATGTCCTTGTGAGTGTCCTTGTGTGGAACTTTTTCAGCCACCCACCATGCCAGCTCTCTTCAATCCCCCCCAATTCCCTCCGGGACCGGAAAAACAGAACGGCACGTTAGCACGGCTGCGTGCTGCAGAGCGCGTGCTGCGCTCAGTCTCCGCCGAGGAACTGATGTTTCCCTTGGACTGGCAGCGGAACTTGATCGCCGATGGGCGCTTTACCGTGGAGTCCGACCGTGCGGTGGTGGTGAAGCTGGGCGAGGCCGCACTCGCCAGCGGCCTGGCTGAGGGCTGAGGTGGTTCAAGACCTGGAATGGAAGCGTTCTTACCGTGTCTGGGGCCTGGGGCCTATGGAATGCAATGAGGGAGAAGGTGCAAGACTTTTCAGTATTCAGATGTAGTCAGCATAGCCAGCCTTTTGAGAGTTCATGTTGTGCTATACCTTTGCGCATACTTGGACCCTTGAAGAGGTGTTTCCTGATCACAGGTGCCCAGACACCAAGGTGTCAGGGTCCGACACGCAGCTTCCAAGTGCCAATTGTGTTTGTCCTGGTGGTAAAAGCTAGTGGAGGGTCCTCGAGCACACTTTGGGGCATAGATGGTAGAGTAGTACAACCAATCGGCCAACGAAAGGCCAATAGGTCAATGGTACCAAACTGACACCGTCTACTACTACTACTCCTCCTGCTGCTGCTGCTGCTACTACTACTGCTACTGCTACGGCTCCCAACAGGACATCAGGCTTCGAGGCTTATCAAGACACTGGTTGGGGCTTGGAGGCTGGTTTCAATTAAAGAACCCCTGCTCAGCCCCTACCGTGGACATCATGGACGTTCTTTGCCATAGAGCTTTGTGCTCCATCGGCAGAGGTAAGTTGGAGACCTTGCGCAGCGAAGGTCCGGTGAGCCACTATCGTTCCGCGGCTGTTGGGGGTCTGACCGGTGGGAATATGCCTACATTGGGGGTCAAGGTACAGTAGGTAGGCATATATGCCATACATGGAGGGTGAGGGGAAGGCTGATGTGGGTTGTGTTGCTGAAGTGATGCTTGTGAGTGTTGCCTGTAGTTTTGACGTTTAGGATTGTGCTGAGTCGAGGAGGAATCTCAGAAGTTGATCATGCCAGGATACATGTTCATGTCATTGTACCATTTCCCGGCATGCCCGGTATGCGGCCTCAAAAGCGTGCTCAATTCCTTTTCGTGGCTGCGGCATTTACAGAAATTTTCAGGGCATACCGGGGTGCTTTTGTGAAACCAGTTTCATGAGGGCAATTGCGCAACACCAGTGCAGCCCAGAAGGTCAACCGACTGCATTCCACGGAGTTCTTTGTTCATCGATTCTTCGATCCCCAAAGCAACGATCTACAGGGCAGCGTCGCGTCCTGTACAAGCGCACTGCAAAGACAAACGGATCATGTTCAACATGACAAAGTAAAAGACGTCGAGTCCACACCATGAGTCGATGGGTCCACGGAGCTATCGATGGGTCCACGGAGCCTTGCGTGGTGTGGCTTCTTGTTTTTTCCGCAGCCCAGATGGTGCGACCATCCGATGTAGGGTACACATGTAGCTAGACTCTAGATGTAGCTAGTGCCACTTTGACCCAAGTTTGAAGCCCTAAGCCCAAAGGAGATAGCCTTCAAACACCAAGTCTCCATGTCTCCATGTGATGATTTTTTCTACACATTCCCTGGAAATCCAAGACCATTTTAAAACGGTGGATCTTGTTTTGTAGTGTAAGACCCTTTGTCAAACCCTTTGAAAAACAATAGTAACATGGAAAACATTGTAAAACAATGCAAAACAATCGTCGTTCGGTAAAAAGGCTATTAAATCAATTTGTGGCTCGACTTCTAGGGCGGCATTCCTTTCACCCTGTCCACTCCACGACACGAGCCTTTCCGCACCCTGAAGCTCGCGACCGATAAAGGCTTCTACTTGGCGTGCCGGCCACGGCTCCTGGGTCAGCAGCCGGTCACTCTGGACTCCGAGGCCGGAAGAAACGGATGAGGATGTGGCATGTTGCTGGCTGAAGGGCTGCCAAGCCAGAAAGCAAGAGTTGAAGTTGTGAGCAGATGCAAGAGCTTCCACATACTGTATCAAGTCCATCCATGAATTGATCCGCCAGGACTTCCTCCGCTACTTCCACTTCCCCTCCCTCCGGGCGGCCGCAGAGGGGCGCAGCTGCCGCGACGGCCTGACTGGACTTCTTTGCGCGGTGCTCGCGGGCAACGCGCACATGATCCGCATGCTGGCCAAGTACCGTGCTGATGTGAACGACCGCCTGGGTGACGCTTGGGAGATGATGTGATGGAATGGTGCGTGTTTGAGCCTAAAACGTGGGGCGATATGGGATTGGCATCATAGATTCAAAGCAAATGGGTTTGTTGTGGCTTCAGTCAGGGTCACAACGTAGGTGAACATGTAACATTTATGATATGGAGTATTTTTGGGTGAGGTGATTCAAGTATTCTGGTGTAGATGAATGTATCATGGGCTTGGGATCCCACACGGACGGTGTGTTTTAATGTGTATATAAATCGATGTGCTTCAAGACAATGACTTTGTGTGGCTGGTGGTGGGGTGTGTGGAGGGTCTCTCGCACAAACTTGGAGTGAGATGCCCAGTGCTGCCCGGCAGTGCCCCAAACCGAACCTGCAAACGGCTTAGCTGTTTGATCCACTTCATAGGTTTGTTTCGTGGTCACCGCGGCTCGTTGCGGTCACAGCAGCGTCACTGAAAACGACGTCATCAAAGCGCATACAACGTCTGCAACGTCTCCGGACGTCGGTGAAGCTGATCGCCAGTCCCATGGGGTGCGGCCCATGGGCGGGGCTTGGTGATGCAGACAAGGCTACGACCTCGTGGAGGTCGAGGTGCGGGTTCCGGCGGGCGAGGTGCGAGGGGGTTCCGTGGAGTGGGAATCCGTGAGTCGTCCTGCGGGCGCCCGGCGCGGACCCAGGACTTGAGTGAGCTTGGCTACTATGAGACTCAAACCATGTGCCTGGACTGCAGGGACGAGGTCGGTGGCGGAGACCCAAGTATAACTAGTACATCATGAGACCTAGACATGTGCGACAGCCAGCTCATTGGAGGCGGGTGAGAAAGTCAACAAGAGTCTCAAAGCTCAGTGCAGCACACTCTTGAAATCATTTGGACGAGCTGGCTGGTGCGATCTGGAGGGAGCGATCCGCGAAGTACTCTCGATCCAGTTCTTCCGTTCTGCCCCAACAGGAATGAGTAGGGATGGAACTCGTGGCCGCGCTTGGATTTTCAGCGTGTCCCATGAAATTGGCGTTCGCAAGGGGTTGAGGCAGCCGATGTTGGTCAAGGCGTCCACGTCACTAGTAGTCATGGCCGCCCCGAGGCTCATGGCCGCTGCCAAGTCCCACCAGGCCCGGGCGTTGCCCGACCCGCGCGTTGCCAGGGGGTCGGCAGGGTCATGCTTGCACGAGCCAATGGTTGTTTCACCGATAATGAATCACCAACTGGGCATCATGCAACATGCACGCTCGGAGTGTAGTTATTTTTGTTGTTTTTGTCCTTCCCCTATGCAAGAACAGGTGGAAAAGGGTTATCCAGCGAAACTGAGGGGGTCAGCCTTTCTTTAATTTAATATAGCGCTGAACTGGGTGCTCGCGGAAATTGCAAAAAATGATATGATGATATCAATTGATATCACACATCTTGTGAGTTGAGACATGGCCCAGCAACGGAATCCCAGGGCTGCTGTTTGGATGCTGTTTGGCAAAGACCGCCTAGCAACAAGATGCACGAAGTCCCCACACAGAGCGTATCAGAGCGTTAAAACAATGCCAGGCAGGCTGCCAGACTTCAACCACCCACGCTATGACATGCTAAGGAAAAAAGGGAACCTCTCTCCATGTGTTCTTCCCCCAGGAATTCCATGATTTTTTCTGCAACACTCTAAATTTGCTCCCGCCAAGGATTTTCCATGTGAACTCTGAATCTACTGGAGGACGGTGCCACCTGTGCACCTCTTAGCGCAGGAGCCACTCATCCTCGAGACCCTCATCGAACTCCGCGCAGACGTGCACGCGCAAGCGCGCAGCGGCATTGGTGCCCTGGAGGAGTTGGAGTGAAGTTGGGTGCCAAACATTTGGCTGTGGTTCAAAACTGGGGGACCCTGGTTGACCACCGAAGGTGAACAGACTGGACTACTATTACTAGACATAGTCGGTTCCTACCAGGGATTAGGGATCCGGATTTGACCCACTGCCATTTGGGTCAAAGCCAGGATATGTTTGTTGACGGTTGACCTAACTACCTGGTGTTGGTCGTTCTCTACCATGGTGTTGAGTTCTCCAGGCTTTGACACGCAGTCCGGTTGCAGACCCAACAGCACATGTTCTCGAATTTCAGGATCCTTGACATACTTAGTAGATGGGATTGGTTCAGTCCTCTTCCCCTTGCGTTGTCCGGTGAGAGGAAAAGAACACGGTCCGATTCACCCGGTCCGCTCGGCCAGTGACGGTACCAAACCGAGGCCCCCATGTTTCGGATGGCCTCGCACCGGGCCTGGCCATCCCAGGCACTAGCATGGCACTTGTTTCTAATAGCTTCTTGTTATTACTAGTAAGGCACCTGTTACTACTAGCGTGGCACTTGTTACTAGTAACCCCCTCCCAGCAAAAGGTGAAATAAGTTTACGTTCAACGGAACGCTGTTTCATAGCTCGTCTGGTGCGGGGGTTGGAGACGCCCCACGAGACAAGCAAGTAGGTGAAAAGTTCCGATCGTTTCGCCTTTCTGTTCCACAACTGAGGGAGATGGTCCCCTTATAGTGGGCTTGCTGCTCTTCCGAACCTCTGACCTCCACAGAGAAAAAAGATCGGCCCCTTGTCGCGTCTATGATCCTCTAGTCTATGCCCCCTTCTTTTCTGTTTGCCCCTTCCTCCATGGGCGGCCTTCGGCCGAGGCTGCACCTTCGTGGTCCGCTCGGCAGGGCAAGTGCAGTGCCTCCTGGCCTTCCGCGCCGACTTCGAAGGACTCTCGGACTGACCGAAGGTGGTCCTGGTGGTTTCGGAGAGTCTTCTTTTTCACCCGTAGCACTTGGGATATCTTGGGAGGATTGAAACCACTGACTCATAGTCTCATGATGTTGTACTGTATGATTGATTTGTCACCGGATGATTGAATCCTTTTGAAACCACTTGGCATTTTTTGGTATATATATATAGTATGATATATACATAAACATAATATACCGTAGTTTTATTTGTTATGCTTTAATAGCTATAGCTTTACTTAGAATGCTTGAAACATGATTGAAACCACTTGACTCGATATGTTTCGTGAGTTCAGTGGTTCTACCACCTTCCACCACCGGTGAGGCAAAGTGTCCGCCGCGCCACTGAACGGCGCCGCCTCGCGTGCGGACACGGCCACGGTGGCGGCGCTGCTGGCAGCGAAGTGCGAGCCGGACTATCCCGGAGACTTGGGCTGAGAAAGGGGTGAAGGGAACGTGAGCTAAAAGCCCCTATGTCGTGAAGGGGGCAAACTGCACCGGAAGGGGTGAAGGGGTCAGAGATGTTCAGAGCAGGTCACAGCTGTCTAAGACAGCTGTTTCAGGGACTGAGAGTCTGGGACGGACCGGACGTGGTGCCACCGGTGCGACCGTGGGAGAGTGAGTGAAACAGTGGGTGGATAGGTTACAGCAGTCTGTTGATAGTGAAGGTTGTATGATTGCTATAGGTTAGTAGGTTGTGCAATCTTCTTTGGCATGTTGCAATGAACTTTGTTTTTTTTCTCAGCGATGATGCGCATCCTTGGGATGTACAACACAGTGAGATCCGGTCCTGTATTGATTCAATGGCGGCTCAATGGGATGGGTTGTCACCTACCACGTGAGCAAGGAGGTCGTGAATTCTTACAGGCTCTCCTGACGTGCCAATTGCAGACACCGACACTCCGGAACTAATTGGTGTTCACGTGGACGACTGGAGATGCACCAGCCTGAATAGTGGACCCATGGAAAGTCATTGAACAAAAAAACTGTTGCTAGTTGCCAGCATCACCCATGTTGTGCGGTTTAAAGCCAGGTCAACCATGGCTGTTTTATACAAATTAATACAAATTATATGGTCTTCGAAGGCTAGGGTAACATGGCTGGGCTTGGGATACGTGGTGATCTACCTGTCATGATTCTCCCAAAAAAACCCTGCAAGTTGAAAGGACACACCTAGTTCATCCTAGTTCAAATGTTATAACATTATAGTTGAATAGCTAACATCAATTGGAACAGCCATTCTGGCCTGGCACGTGTCCTTTTCAACACGCGCCATCAAGAACATTCAAGAACCACCAAGAATTCCTGTTGAGTGCAGCACGTGCAGCACGTGCAGCAGACATGTCTTCTCCTCCCATTTTCACGAAACCTTTTCGACTCGAACGCAGTTCGTCTCTTGTTCGGACACCGTCAGTTCACGCGAAGTATGGCGCCCTCACAGCGGCAGCGCTCTTTGGGCGGGGGAACCCCTGCTGCGCCTCCAATGTACGGCTGCTGCTGGAGCACCAGGTGTCCGAACCTCGTTGCGGACGAGTTCTCGCGGGCCGCACGTGGCGAGTGGGTTCTCGTGGGTAGGTATAGCGACCTGAGACTTGAAGACGGGAAAAAGGGTGCGAGTTTGAGGATAAGTGATGTAACATCACCGTGGCAATCTCCTCTATAAAATGGGGAGGGTCCACCCTCTTTGTCCACCCTTCTTTCTTTGAAATATGATCCTACCCTTGGGGGGACTGCCCCCGGGGGTTGTTCCTATTTATGCGGCCCACCAGAGCCACGGCATCGCATTCTTTCTTTGGCTGCCGCTTGGAGCGATGGCAGGCGATTCAAAAGACAACGGATGACACCGGTATAGAGGCAGTCCAAACACCAATATGCAGTCCAGTGGTCAATGCACCGGCTTGACTGGTGCTTTTCGAGCTGGTGCTTAGGCTGGGAGAAGCCGGTGAAGAAATGGGTCTTCAAGGCCGTGTTTCACACCCCTGAAGATAAGGTCTGGGAGTGTGTCCTGTGTCCTTGGACCTTATGTTAGGCACCTCTTGAACCTGTCCTTTGAAAGCGAGTGCGGTGCGTGGAACGGAGGCCTTGGTGGACCGGAGGGCCAGGCCAGTGCCGCCTTTGGCGGAAGAGTGCGCATTGGCTGGGGAGCATCTTGGTCCCGACTTCACGTAGACTCTTTGATTGGAGTTCGGGCCCTAGAGGCTCAAAAACCGAGGCTTTAAAAATCCAAATGACATCCACCCTCACCCATCATACCACATGACAAGGCGGTTCGCGTGGAAGCGTGCGCAAGTGCGTGCATCCAAATTTGGGGAGGTTTTGGGAATCAAGATTCTACACTGGAGTATTTGGGTGGCATTTGGGCTATCAACGGCCACCGTTGTTGTTTTTTTCTCGAGGGTGTCAACTGCTCAGTGAGACATGCAAAATCTATCCCCCAAAAAACGGGGAAGGTGAAGAGTATCTGAGTATCATCGGAAGTGCATTGAAGTCCTTATCTCGCAGTGGATGCAGGATCTAGCCCAAAGGACATCATTCCTACACGGCCTACACAACCTCTAAAAGTCTTGCACAACAGACGAGATGTTGGTCGACCCGACCATTCCCCCTGCCTGCCCTCCTCACCCACAAATATCGGCATCATGTTCGGCATGTTCTTCCACAAGCTCAACATAGCTCAGCCTTTCCTCACCCTGATTGAGGACAAGTGGATCACCTGCCACCTGCACCTGTTCTTTTTGGATATGTTTGGTTTAGCATGGTTTCTCCGCTCAACCAGAACCTGTGGTTCGAATCGGGGCCTGCTCCCCCCAGTCTTCGAATCGGCAGGTGATCGGCGAACGGGGCGCAGTTCTAGATTAGCGGAGCCCAGTTCTATCCGCTTCCCCCAAACAGATCCTTGCATCAATAGGAACCCATAAGGTTGATAGGAACCATGGAGGTCCAAGAGCAGGGTCCAGGGTTGATGGCATCAACATCCTGTGGTAAAATACTGTGTTGTAGCAAAATTACATCCCGAAGGATTAAGGATCCCCCCCTGCCACCCACCCCACTTAATTCGCAGGGGGATCGAAAAGGATCCACAAGGATCCAAAGATGACGATGTTTAATGGGCGCTCGCTGGAATCCAGGAAGGCTGATGAGATCGGCCTCGAGCAGAGTTCCACCTTGGTGCGCACCTGGGGCTCTTTGCCAGGCGGCCGTTCTTCTCTCTCGGCCGATGGTTCTCGAGGCAGAACGAGATCACCAAGAAATAGACATTTATTATATGATACACTCCCTGGAACTAACATGGAAGTGGAGAATGGCCCCTTGGAAGACCATTTTCCACTACAAACAGGTGGTTTTCCACTTCCATGTTAGTTTACGGGAGTGTATATAGCCTTCCAAGACCATTCAAAAAAATGGTTGACCTGATTAATCCTGGTTGTGTGGTGTAAAAATCCCTAGTAAAACAATGGTGGTTCGGGAAAGGCTATTAGTAATGGCTGGAATTTTGAGGATTATTATATACACATAACATACATATAACATGCTGATTAAGATATGCAGTATATACACTGGGGGAGTCATCAGAAAATCTGTAACCTCTCCAACTTCAACTCCACCAATTTCCTGTCCTTTCGTCCGAACCACCGGCGCCTCCTCCCGCTTACCTCGTCATCGCCGTGGTTCGTCTCCGCGCCGCTGGCCGGAGGCATGACGCCCTTGCACGCGGCGGCGCTCGTGGGCAACTCCAAGCTGGTGCGAAGCCTCCTCGAGGCGCGCGGCCACGCCGCGCGGCTGGGGCGAGTGAGGGGGACCGATACGAGGTGGAGAGGCGGACCTGGTGACCTTGTTGGGGAGAGGTCCTAGCGGATTTGAATGGATTTGGATGTGTTTCTGGGAGCGGGCGGCATGGTTTGGTTGAATGAATTCTTTTTTGATGAACAAAGATATCATTCAGAAATGTTTGAAGTTCGTGAAATTGTGTGCCAGCTGCTCAGGGAAGTGAGTGGGACAGACTTTAAGCAGAGACAGAGACAGATAGTCAGAGCACTGCAGAAGCATCAAAAAAAATCAAGTCTTTTGCGTCACGGCAGGCTGGTCAGTTAAAGCAATTTGCGACCATATAACAATATATCAATTCACATCCCAGCAAGTCTTGTTAACCGTGTGTTTCACCGTAATACGTGAAGACTTTATGAAATATACTAAAGATACTGAAAGACTGACATACATTCAAAGTCGCAATCGTTTTGTTGATTTGGTAGGGCTGCTGGAGCTGGCTGCGCACTGCCCGATGCATTGTCCCCTCTCTCACCCAAGTTCCTTGCGCCAGTATCGAGCACAGCTGTTGATGAACGACCGGGGAAACTTGCCGCATGAGCTTCTCGGCAGAGGCCCAGCACCTTGCAGGAGTTCAACGGCCCATTAGGAACATACAGTACCAACAGCACCTAAGTATATCATATCTATTATAGTGGGTCAAGAGTAGATGGCGCAGTCCCCAAGTTTGGCGGTTTCTATGGACCCCCAATGGTTCAGGACATCTTGGGGGTTGTGCAATCTACTCAGAAACCACTGTAACCAGCCCCTCGGGATGATCAAGAAGGGTGTTTATGAAGCATCCTGTGTGGAACTCTTTTCGGTCGCATGTGTGGGTTTGGTTTGGCTGCAGATTCCGAATCATTTTTTGCCTACCCATCCAGATCATGATCGTGCGGCTTCATGGGTCGTGGGTCTGGGGTTGGAGTTGATTCTACCTGACCCTTCAGCCCCCCCCCAAAGCGGCCTGTGGACGTGGCTTCGCGGGAGAGTGAGGGCTATCAGTTCCGCCAGAATTCAGAGTGACCACCGGAGTCTTGTTGATCCCTATCACACCCGCCCGACGAGTGGATGTCCAAAACACCGAGGTTGGCACAGGCATGTGGCCACACGCACTTGCTACCGTTGCTGGAGACCTTTTATATTTGAAGCCCGCCCAGCCGCGGCTGCTTCAGGTCTCCGCAAGTAGGTTGGAGGCCTCATCAATCTTCTGAAAATACACCTGCCTTGGTCAACAGCTGGTCAAAACAGAAGATACGGCCGGTCCAAACATCAGCTGACAGGGCCCAGCACGTCCGGCAGTGGGAGAGAACGCGCTCCCTGCTACGCCCCCTCACCCCCTGGCTTCCAGGATGTTTGAAGAATTCAAATTTGTTGGGACATCGCTAACGGCTAACCTTATAATATAGTGGTGGTTTATGAGCGGCCCTTGATCACGGGTTAGCTTTACCCTGAGACTGGAAATCATTCATTCTACCCTTATATTATGGTAATGATGGAATGATGGAATTTGACTTCCATGGTAAAATAGGGTAAAATGAGTCCTTGGAAGTTCTGGGTTAGAAGGTGTGTCCCTTCGCGGCCTCGCGTTGGTTTGTTTTCGATTCCTCACCATTGGAAGTGAACATCGAGTTGCTAGTCGAGTTGCTTCCCGGGCAGTACTCAGCGGCGCCAAGCAGCGCCCGAGCGCGGACGTGCTGACGCTTCTCATAGCAGCGATAGTTCACCTCATGGGGTCAAAATCGGGGCTCCTCCCAGATTTTCTCAGTGCCTTACACTCCTTCAACCTTAGACTTAGGAACGAGTTCTTGGGATTAGTTAATGTCGACTCTTGGTTAACTCCACCATATGAATTAATTATAAACACTCCCTAGGGATCCAAGTACCTCCTCAAAAGGTCTTGGACCCTCCAAACCCACCCCAAACACCTTCTCAGAGGGTACTTGGATCCTTAAGGACTCTTCATTGTGGTTTTGAATCAATCCAGAAAAGGCATTCGTTGCATCGCCCATGTCCAATCACTTGTCCATGCGGCGTGTGGACAGACCACCGCCCACACCCTTCCGTCTTTTTTGGTGTTGCGGAAGAGTTTTTGCGAACAACCAGCTGCAATGTCCAGTGGACAGAAGGTTGAACGAACACTGTTTCGTGCACTCCTGGAGAAGCCAAATAAACCTGGGGGTGTATAGAAGAAACATGAAGAAAGTGGCCAGCATTGGTCACCGTTTGCACCGAATTGGTCTTCCGGGGCTAGTGGTCTTTAATTGATCCACAAGCCAGAGATGTTGTTCGATCACTCCCACTTCTTTTTTCAAGGAACTCACTCCCCACTCCATGGCCGGACACGACCCCATGAGGAGTCTGGTGGAGTCCAACTGCCTTAGGCAGCCGGAGATGTCATGTAGCGCAGTGGACGAACGGGCACAGTTGTAGAAGGTTGTCAAAGGGCGCTCCAACGGCGTATCCTTGGACATGTATCCCCCCCCAGCTGTAGGAGTGCACTTCTAGCTGCACTTCTATGCAGAGCTTAGCTGCGCTTAGCAGATCGGACATAGAACCCCTCTTCCTTGGAGCTTTCAACTGCACACACACACTAACTAATGACCCGTTCGAGTGGCCACGGGCCACAAAACACACGACACAGACTTCCCAACAATAGCAAAGCGCGCTCATGCTACCCTTTGGATTTCTGATGAAAAGCATGTTTTAATGATTCTTGTTGCGGCCCACTGGTTATTGGAGCAAGGATGCCGATACCACTGAATCCACTGCCATCCTGGATCCATTGGAGAACTTCAATTCGGGTCCCAGACTCGCGGTTCTTGACGGAAACTGCGGAGAAAATCCGAGGTTCTTATAGAGGCCAGGTATATCAAGATATCATTGTATACGGTGTGTATATGTGTATACATATATATATAGTTTGGAATCAGTGGCTAGATATGTATAATACCTCTAAATTGTTCTTAACATGTTCCAGAGCCTGGGGGCAGGCACTTTGTTTGTCAGTGCTTCCATTTTCCGAGTCATGATCGGAAGGGATGATCATTCTCCAGTCACCATACCCTCTTTTTGATTCAGTGTGTCATCATGTTTCATCCATCGTTCTCTTAAACTGCTTGGCTTTTCCAGTGAGGATGGCTGGCTTTTCAAGTGTGAGTTCCGTGTGTGTGATAGCTTTTCGCAGTGTCTCCGAAGTAGTGCGACACATGATGGATGGACAGTTGAGTGGTGCATGCAAAATGCAATCAAACTGTCAGAATGCAGAGGACACGTGGGTCGGTGTTGCAACATGTTGCAGCTACCACGGCACCACGAAGGGTCATTATTCTTTCAGGTTTTTTGGAACCGGAGTCCTGAAGGTGGCTGGAATGGTTGGGGAGTCCAGCCTTTCAGAGAATCATCCTGGCACAGCCCAGGCCCATTTGAGGGTCAGGGTAGGCAATGGCAGGCAGATGAGGAAGAAACAACAAACACCTCACATCCAAACACGGAAAACGTCCAAAAATTGGACGGCGGAAGCCAGAACCGCACGTGCTTGCAGCCATGGGCGGCTCCCTTTGCTGCGAGAAGCCGCTGCCACCGAATCATGTGCACCCTTGCCTTTTCCCCATGTACCTAGTGAAGGCATCTCATGGGGGTTCAGCACAGAACCGGAGATGATGGGAGCACTGTGGGTTTGAAAGGACGATTTGCAATGGGTTTAGCTGATGGATGGTCAATCCGAGGACCCAAATGAATGCTAAGAGTTCATTTGGATATCCGTCCCTCCCAGGCTTCCACCCGCTTCCAAATTCTCAGACTCAACGCCGCGGCAACCAAACCACCGCAAAACCGCTTCAAAACCGGACTTTTCTTCCGCGCATGTCGGACATGGCGCGTGTCGACACCGAGCTCGCGCATGTGAACACCGAGCTGGCGACCTGCCAGGTCTCGGACTTCTTGGAGATGAAGGGCACTCCGGAGCCGCACGACATTTTGATGCAGAAGGGTTTGCTTCATCAGTGGGAGCCAGGCCTTTGGTTTGGTGCGGTGGTGGTTTTCCGCCCTGCCCATGAAGCGGTTGAAGTTGCTGGATTGGTGGTATTTGGTATGCCGATGCTCGTAGATGAATTTCTGATGACTGTTTGCATAGTTTGGTCGTTTTGCAGGCTTAAGCTTCCACCTCTCTCCTGGGAGTTGCCTTGTGTGGTCATGCTATACCCATCAGACTCCCAAAAAAGACCGATGGCATGTTGCTGGTCCACGCTTTAGCGACCAGCAACCAGCCTCCGACTTCACAGGTCTCCTAATTAGTAGGCTTGGGTTTGGGCCCCTAAGAGGTCTCAATTGGTGACCTGACAGTGAGGATGCGGCTTCTATATGTTTCTATCGAGCGGCTAGTAGAAGGCTCTCTCCATGCGGTTCCAGGCATGTTCACGCTCTTCGTCTCGCATCAGTGGCTGGGTTCGCAGCATCCCGACCCCACGGGGCAGCAGCTGGGCGTGTTGCGCACCGCGCTGCGACGGATCTTGGAGCAGAGTCTACAAGTCGAGGAGGATTTGAGCCTTGGACAAGGGACCGTGGAAGTGGTGTAGGAAGAAAATAGGGGTGAACAGCAGGACTGCTGCTGCGACTGATGGGATTTGAATAGCATACTTCCTATCTACATTGACCCGTGAAAACAACCACTCCAATCTGTGTGAGGTAAAGATGGCATTCATCGATTACGAGTGTATGGGTGCTCTCCCTTAATTGTATTTGTTCATTTTGGGTGCCAGCAGGGTGATTCTCGTGCTGGCGGAACACATGCCAGCCCATTTCAGCGGTGCGTCCAGACACCGATAGCGGCTCCAATGCACCTTTGAGACTGGGCTGGGCCTTGGAAATCCTTGAGCAAACAGACTTCTCCCATGGTTCGTCCACGGTTGGGTACTTCAGGTGTTTAGGGAGTTGGGGGAGTTGTTGTTTTTGGACCTGTTGCACTTCATTTCTGACAGAGAGATCTTTGGTGTTGCTATGTATGTAACATGTGTCGTCGTCCGGGTCTTGTAGCATCCAAAACCTTCCGGCCGTTAATCGCCCAGAGTTGGTTTTACGGGAACATCTACAGGAAAGCCTTCGGGTTTCTGTTCTTTCATGTGTTTTCTTAGAAGGTAATGCATTGAGCGTTGGCACCAAATGCACCGGACGTTCAAAACGATGCGACCGGCACGGGCACCGCTCAAGCGAGACAAGGACCTCGATCAAGCCTGCAGCCCTCTTGGCACCTCGGAGGAGAAGTGAAAAGCAAAAATAGCCGGACCGGGCCGACCGGGAGGTCGGAGAAGGAGAAGGAGGTCGCCCGGTCCAGTGGTCCGGTATGATTGCAAATAAAAGCACCATTGATACAGCAGTTCTTGACTTCAGGCCTCCAACCACACCACAAATCCATGGGATTTGGGGTTTGGACGATTTGATGTCGTGCATGTGTGATTCCTGATCGTTTGGATTTGATTCATCCAGGTCAACGAGACCAAGCTGGATTTGCACACTATGCTCCTTTTGGCAGGTGCTCACACCATCTCATCCGACTTATCCTAGTGTTAATTAATATGACACCTGGCACGCCCTTGAAGAACATTAGGCGCAGGATTGCGCAGGTGTTCATGTCATGGCCATTGCTGTGACGATGTCCACCGTCCAAGACATCGCCGGTCGGTCCCAGCATGGAGCTTCGCTGAGGATCCGGAACAAATCAAGCGACTGTCCAAGCCAACGCTACAGCAGATCGAGCGGGGAGCTGCTGACCTGGTTGGAGAATCAGCAGGGGAAAAGGATGGACAAATCTATCGCCCAAAAGGTGGATCTGGATTGCCTTGAAGCCCCTTAAGCCATTTGGGGGGGATGCGTTTCCGCACTCAAAACCATTGGTGGCTAAAGGTTCACCTTTATCTGGAAAAAAGGTCGGGGAGATTGAAGAGTAGATAGAGTGCATTGAGAGTAGATGGCGCACAGACCCCCCTAATGTCAGTGGTTTTATATGGACCATTTACTTTGAAACCACTGGATGCGAATATGCGAGGCTCGGAGGTCTTGAGGAGCAGGAAGACGGACGGAAAATCTGGGGAAATCCCTCGAATCGCACGCCGCCATCGCACGATATTCTGCTGGTGCCAGGCTATTTATTCATCGACTGGTTTGCAATACCCCAGTGCCCTTGGCTGCAAATTGAGGCCGCAAGAGCTTGGTCGAAGGTGGGTTTGTTTGCGAAAGCCCGAGATTGGCAGATGGACCGACCGTCATATGCATGCCCGTGGCCGGCACTTTCAAAACCAGTCGCCAGTCTGCAGTGTTGCATCTCGAATAATATCGGCGGGTTCAATGGAAGTTTCCCTATTTGCTACTTTGTCCCTCTACCACTATACTGCTATACTGTAGTATACTGTTGTACTGCTACTGCTACTGCTGTTCCTCATCCTACTTTTCCTCCTCCTCATCCTCCTCGTCCTCCTCCTACTGCTAGTGCTACTTGAAATTGTTGATATTGGTGTTGGGAGCTCACGCTGTATTGTAGTACTGTAATCTAATGTCATATATAGTATATACTATATATATATATATATCTATAGACTCTCTCCCAGTTGTTTGCTGGGAGGGATGTGGATCCGTCACACCGCAGAGGGGTCCTCACCGAGGATCACGGCGCGCCTGCCTGGAGTCAACGAGGAGAGCACCCGCTCCAGCGCGGCGCTTGCGGTGCAGAGCATCCCCGCGTACGTGGAGGTGTTGTGGGTGGTGGGAGGGATGGACATGGACCCCCGCGTGGTGGTTTCAAATAGTTCTATGTTCCAACTGATCAAACTGTCATTACTTGGGAAGATTGATCCCACTGACAATTCATTCGAGTGAGTTGAAGCCATTAAACCACCAAGCAGACCTGGTGGGATGCCTTTAATTTTTTGCCTCGAGTCTGACACGACATGAAGCCGTTGTGGAGTCCCAAGTGTATATATAGACATACACTATTGAACTAATCATGGGAGTGGAAGATGGCCCCTTGGATGACCATTCTCCTTTACAAATGACGAGTTGTTTTGCGCTTCGTACGACCCGAGGAGTTTATCAGATGGACAGCACAGGACATACACCGGCAAACGGTTTGGATGTTTCCCACCGGGGATGGTCACCGGGTTCACCCTCTGACTCACGTTCCATGGTGACGTGGATGGCATGGTCCCTTGGAAGACGACTTTCCTTTATAAGCATCGGGGTGAACTCCACTTCCCTACTCAGAAGGTATGACCACCCTCTTGGCACCCACCCCACATACCTTCGAAACCATGTGATGTGTTCGTTTGTTCGTGTACCACCGTCGCGTTGTGTTTTTCCGCCGATGTATCGAACCAGGCTGCAGACCTCTTCTTGGCATTGGTGCCAGCCACTGGGCGGCCTCGCAAGGGAGCGGAAAAGGAGTGGTTTTCGTGGTTTTCCAGTTTGAGGGCTGGGAGTAGCCGTAGTAGCCTTGGCAAGGGAACTGAGGTAGGTGCTCTTCGAGCAGATGTATGGCACCAGGGGTGTTGCCGATGTGAGGCGGCTGAATTATTGTTTCTTCTGTCCTGTCCTCTTCGGAGTGGTTTCAATATGGCATTGACGCCCTAAGTTGTCTTAGACAGATGTGGGAGACTCGAACTTGTTTCCGGGACATGGGTGACGTTTGGCTGAGGAACTTCTTCATGCCGACACTGGCACCTGGGCAAAATGGGCAGGTGCTTGATGTGCTTTCAGATTTGGCGCATGCTGGCAGGGTGGGCCGGTAGAGAGTAAACGCGTTGGGTAGTCCATGGGTGACTTTAAAGTTTAAAGGGTGTTTACAGGTGGTGAAGCACATACCTTGGCGGGCGATGCAATTTTTGCTGTTGTGTGTGCATTGGGCGGAGGTAACTGAAACCATGTTGCCAGGCAGATCAAGGCAGCAAGATTAGCTGTAAGACTGTAACAGTTGATGCGCCTTTTTCGTTGCCGCTGGCTGCTTGACGGTGATTTTGGTTTACATGGCTAATATACAATAGACGTCAACTATTTTCGAACCCAAATTGATTCCACCATCCGAAATAAACCATGCCGGGCTCAACCCCCCCACTGACATTGCGGTATTCAATGCTATTCGTATGAATGCATATGGGGTTTCACATCACCGGCAGAACCTGAAAGAATCCATGGCTTACGAATCCACAGTCGGACAAGCGACAGTCGGAGTTCTGCGACGGTCGGACAAGCGTTGACCTTCACCTCTCAACGATCCTGTTCTGTTCTCGAAAACCCCTGCACCTCTCAATGACTCATGAAGTATAACGTTGGAAGTATAACGTTGGGCTCCTGAACATTTTTTTTTGCAACTCCTGATTGTAATGAAATCTCATTTTGAAACTTTTTCTTTGGTTTTCGATGGCCTGATGTCAAGCTGAAAAAAAAAAAGGGCCCGGCCAAAGGGGCCAAAGCACCTGGGATCAATTCAGTCTCCGGTTGTGAGGTCTCATTTGCAGCTACAGCTCCTGGCTCTCTCGCGGCTGGTGCCGTGCCGAGTTGTGGTGTCGCAGCTCGGTCAAGAAACAAAGCATATACCCAGGCCGTCCATGTATGGAATTATGGCATGTTATGACTATATACTTACAGTACTATATTGGAATGGGTCAAAACCTAGAGCCCCAACACCATGTCTAGCTTGACCTTCCAGATGGGTCAACCAGGGTACCTGGTTTGGCCCACAGCCACATATCTCACATTGACCCCTGAAGAACCACCCAAATGTCGATACATGAATGCCACACACGGAGTGCGCAAAGCATTGGCTACCCACAGATGGCTCTCAGATGATTTGTGTCACTGACAAACTTCGAAAGAAGGATTGAACATAGTCCTGGAAGAAGGATTCTATAAGTATCGCAAGCATTATAGCACTGACTGCCACCAAACAAACCACAAGCATTTTTATGGGGGGGGAGTTGCTGTTAGAAGTGTGTGCCCACACAAGGGTTCGGTGTTGTCCCGAGGTTTGCTGTCCAACAAGTCCGACACCAGCATCATCGTGATTTATTCCACCTGCGATGCTGCACCTTGGTCCATGAATCGGTGAATCCTATAGAAGATGTTCTTGAAACATTTCTGACCCTACCCTTAGACTGTTCAAGATCATACACGGATAGCATTGATGGACTGACACTCCAGTCCGTCACATGCTGTAGCCAAGTCCATATAGCTAGAACCTGTTTGAACGCTTGTTTGATATTGCAAGACTACGCTTGGGCCCCCCCAAACAGGGGTCAATCAGGTGTTTTTCCTCTCACGAGCAGTCGGCAGCTGGCGAGCCAATGCGATACATGTCCGGTGGCCTCAAATGTGGGCACCTTCCACCACCGAGCTGGTCGAGTCGTCACATGTGGAGCAGTTCGCGTTGGGACCTTTTGGGCCGATCTGCACCTTCCGCCCTGTAGGTGCCGAGAAGTGGTAGCCGATGGTTCGGAACATCCAACGCCATCCGACCATTCAACCCAACCGTGTCATGTAAGAGCGACCAACTAAACACCCGTAAACAAAGACCCTCAAGACACCCAGAACCTGATGTTGCTCGGGGACACTTTTCCCCTATGTTCCCATCATGATGTGAATATATCCGTTTCTTTTTGGACGGGACGAGTGGCCCCGATCCACACCGATGCCGATCAGGAGTTGATGTTCCCCCTGGTCTGGCAGCGGAACTTGATCGCCGATGGCCTTTTCACCGTGGAGTCTGACCGTGCGGTGGTGGTGAAGCTGGGCGAGGCCGCCTTGGAGAGCTTCTTGGCCGTGGCGGTCTGGAGTCGGGAGTTGACCGGTCTGGAGTCAACCGACCTGATTTGGAAGACAGTTCCGCAGATTTTACAATTGGACACCAATGAAACAGAACATCAATATGTCATAATATGTCTTAATGGAGTTTACTGAATGTGGATCATGCCCAGACCATATTTGGATGGTGTACCTGCAAGAACGGCTGCTTGAAAAGGGGAGCCCATGTTGGCCGCCATACCACACGGAAGAGCGTGCTTCGCGACTCTTCGACTCACCGTTACGGGTATTCCGGGTCGTTCTTCCGGACATGGGGACGGTCGTTATATCCTTAAGAATCCAGTCGTACCCTCGTTTCGGGTCGGTGGGACGGTGGGTGGGTGCCAGGGACTGGATCCGTACCTTTTGAGGAGGTACGACTGGATCCCTAGGGATATGTTATATGTTGGGGCACGAACGGAAGTTGGATGTTCGCCTCAGGAACGGGTGGTAGGCGCCGAAAGTGGTGCCGTCAAGTGGGCCGAAAGAGGTATGCTGCTTTGGGATTTCCAGTGGTTTCAGTGGCTTTTTTTCAAGTAGGGTGGGTCATCCAAGATCATCCAGGATCACCCAGGATCCCACTTAATGTAGACTCTTGATCAATAAAACCCAAATTTATACGGACATGCTCTTCATATGTGGTGGCTCTATCAATCAAGAGTCTACATTAAGTCGGCCTTTTGTGGAACTTCGTCCACCGTCGACCTGGAAATCTGTCGTTGATGAAGGACTCGGTCACCGAGCGACATCCTATACTTGAGGGTGACACCCTGCCAGGAACAGATGGGGTCAAATGGGGTGAAGATCCGGTGGAAAAGAGTTAACCCTGAGTTGTTCCAGGGAAACGGCTCAGGGGTCGTGGCTACCACAGCTCATTGAGACCAAAGACGGTCGGTGCCGTCGGATGAAGACCACGGACTTGCGGTGCCAGGTCCGAACATGGGTAGCCACTCAACCCAACGTTTGCATGCCCCAGGGCATCCAGGCAAACCACTATAGCTGGTAACCAGTGGTTCCAAAGACAGATCGACCATAGACCTAGAATCCCTGGGTTCCTTATATAGTGGTATATAACTGGGATGCACTGGGCGCTATTTTGTGTTCGGGTATGCTATGTGTTCGGGTAGCCAAACGCTTACCCAAATCGACTTGGAGTTCAGAACCGTGTTTGGTATTCGGAAGAAGGGTCATCCAAGGGCTTAAGGGTCCTATGTTCCATTGTCCATTTGGATTGGATTATTTCAGGGAGTGTATTAAATAAACATTTGTTATTTTACAAAAATCATACTCCCCAATCCCCTCCCAGTGGTCAACCCTCCACCTGGGTCAACCCAGAAGGCGCCGGACCGGACCCGTGCGTTCAGCGATCGCCTTTCGCGAAGCGATCGCCGCCGTCGAAGAAAGCGAGGTAAGCTCGAGACCTTGCACATCGAGGGGCCGGTGAGTCACTATCGCCCCTTGCCACGAGGGTAGGCTTTCGGGTCACCCCGGGTGAGGGCACGAGTCGGTGGAGCATGTGTAGTAACGTAGTTTCAGGATGTTTCAGGGTAGGCATAGACCCAACGTTTGGTGGTTTTATCTGGACCCCCATTTGAAAGTCATTTTGGGGTCCCCGTGCCAGTTCTCACCTTTGAAACCACTGTAACTGGTAGGCTCCTCGAAGCATGCTGACGATGATCGGCCGCAGTCAACAAAGTCGATGCGAGTTGTTCGAGAGCAGCAAGCTGCCAATGGACCACCTGACTGGACTGGACTGATTATGCTGCTGCTAGTGTATAATTATGTAAAGACTCTTGATTAATAAAGCCTCCGCATTTGGATGCACGCACTTGCGGACGGTCGTCAAGGACGCGCGCGCCCACGCCCTCCCTTCCCAGATATTCTAGGGGGTAGAGGTGGGTGTGAAAAGAGGTGATACATTGCTAGAGGTAGCAAAGTATGTACACACAGAACTTCGGAGGCAGGCTCGGCAAAAACAAAGAAAGGTGACGAACAGAAGCATGGTCTAGCAATGCGAGGCACCAGGTATGGGCGAATTTCAGGCAGGTCTAAAGGTGCAATGGCTCCATTTGAGAGCCCAGAACAACCATACCAGTCTGGAGCAACTAATTGGGACCAGGAAATGCGGTATCGAAGCTCTTCTTGCGCTCTTCATGGCATACCAAACGTGTTGAGTAGTTCACTTATCTCGTGTATGCACTGGTAGGACCGGGCCACGGCAACGGCCACGGCACGGGAGCAGGAAGTGGTGGTATCTCGTTGAAGGGCGGATCATGCGGCATAGTCAGAATGAGTGTTCGGAGATAGCTATATGTTTCCTGAGGATGGGTAGAGGTCTACGGGACACTCCGGATTCATGGTATGCAGTAAAACCCAATCTGGTGAGGCTGGAGGAGCCTTGTTTGGCGTACGGCGGAAACATTTGCGTGCGTGAAAATGCCTTCAGGTGTTTGACAATGAGCCTGAATGTTTCTGACAGAGCCCGAAGTGTGCGTTGTTTCGGTGGTTGCATCTGGACTCTAGGGTCAGTGTACTCCACAGCATGGCTAGTGTCTTTGTCCTTTATTTTAATGGGTTCCCGTGTTCCAATGCTTTCTGAGCCCCCCAAAAAATATGTAGCATACTGTTTTGGGGGCTCAGCAAGCACTGCCGATCAACACTCTTTTGCTCGGCTCTAGCAGCTTTAGCACTCTACTGTAGCTGCTCCAGCTCGTTCATCTTGTTCATCCGAGCATACCACAGCCCATCCGACGTGCGCCATCGTTCACCACCAGTGACTTCAGGTTGCGTTGAGCCCTTGATCCCACATGGAAGTGAGGTGGACCCTTTGTCCCACATCAGTTGGTTGAGGATCGAGACTTTATCAAGACTTTTTGCAAGGGAGTCAAAATGCACCTCCGTGTTTGTTGGCAGGAGAGTGTACCCCACCACCATCAGGGGCACATCCCCAACTCTCCCCAGCTCCCCAGCCCTTGCCCGTGCCCTCGCGCACACAAGTTCCTGCGAGGCTTTTATTTGGCCTGTCGTCCTCGGCTCCTAGGACATCAGCCCATGGCGCTGGACTGTGAGGTCCAGTCGCGGTCGCGGTGCGGCGGCGCATGGGCTCCGACAGATTGCTGGGTGTAGGAAGGAACATGACAGGTTGTCACAGGCCAAACGAATGTCCAAAAGGCGGATCATATCATATATTTGTTGAGCTCTGATGCCAGAGGCAGAACTGATTTCTGAAAAAAGTGAATCCGGTTGAAGGTAAATTCTGACAGGGTGAGAAAAGAGAAGAAAGGATACCACATGTCCCACACTGTGTTTGCTCACCAGCACTGTGTTTGCTCACCTTTACTGGGGCATCTGCCAGGACTTCCTCCGCTACTTCCACTTCCCCTCCCTCCAAGAGGCTGCGGAGGGGCGCAGCTGCCGCGATGGCCTGACTGGACTCCTTTGTGCGGTGCTCGCGGGCAACGCGCACATGATCCGCATGCTGGCCAAGCACCGCGCTGATGTGAACGACCGCCTGGGAGTCCTTTGGAAGATGATGGGAGGCACGGCAGGTCTTAGCTTGGGGAGGCACATCATTTGGTGCAAGAAAAGTGAGAATTAGGTCGACAACTCTATACTCTATACTTGAGGGTTTTGCTGAGAAGTGGGAACAAAGCAAACCAAGTCTGGTGGTTTGTGTGTATAGAGTATTGTTTCTTTTCTGCAATTTGGTGGTCCTGATTGATTCAGGGACACCCCACCAGTGATCTTTTGCATGTTTGATTGATAGCAGGCCTGGCGGTGTTTTTTGTGGTTTGGGTCTTGCAGTTTTGTATGGTTTTGATGTTGTTTCTTCGCATATAGTATCGTATAATCACTTAGTCACAAGTCCCTTTGTTTGAGGTTTGGCCATCACAGTGTGGGAGCACTGAACGGATGTTGAGGGATTTGAACTTGCGGGCACTTTGTTTTCGAGAGCTGCTTGAGGTTTCTAGATAGTGGAGTTCTCTCTAGTTCCTGTGTCTAGTCGGTTTCTAGGTTCTAGGTTTCTAGGTTCTAGAGAGCTGCTTCGACGTGGAGTTCTTTCACAGCTTTTCGTGTGGTGCCCCTAAGGACCTGAGTGAGCTTGGCTACTACGAGACTCAGACCGTGTGCCTCAGCCATGAAGCAGGTTGGACACAGAACATTTAACAATATCTATTTAAAACAACAACTATACTGTAGCAATTTTTCTATACAATTTCTGATATGATATAATCGAACAGAGCACTGGCAACCTTTCCTGACAAATGATTTTTTTTTGATGCTTGCTAGTAGCATTTCCCAGACCATTACATGTTGCAACATGCATGGTGACCGTAAGTAACTCTTCCAGTCCCATGAATGCTTTGGGCTTGCTCAGCTCCACGTGGTGGCGCTGCCAGCACTTCACACCGAAGCACTCCTTAAGCCGTGGTGCCCTGCTAAGCGGCTCAGGCTTACGGCCGCGGTGAAGTCTCACCAGGCGAACGTCCGGGTTGGCACCAAATGAGACTGGGAGAGGGTTCCACAACCGCACGATCAACGTGGAACGCTCACCAGAGGCATGTGGATGCTATGGTCATTTGTCCAGTCGGAGCTTCAGTCTGGTTTAAGTAGCATGATGGCAAATGTCCCTTTTGCACCTGCTTGTCGACTTTTTGAAATACAGTCAAACGACGATCAAACGTACTGTACTAGCGTTTTCGATTGCCCGCAACAGCTTGACGAGGGCACCATGTTTGAAGGACAGTGACATTGTTGCTTCTTTTGTGTTTTGTTTCCCTCACTCAGCCTCAACAACAGTCATCGCAATTTTAACTTGGGGGTACAGTACACCACTCGGGAACAAAATCCTCTAATAATTTCCATCGGGCCGCTAGCCGCGGTCCGGGTGTGGCAGCCCACCTGCTTGCTGGCTTGGCCACCGGGTGGCGCTGCCGGGGTCACCGACAGGAGCCTCCAGTGCTGGAGACGTTGATCGAGCTGAGGGCGGATCTACACGCGCAATCACGCAGCGGTGTCGGTGCCTGGGAAAGGGATGGAGAGGGAGATGAGGAGAGGAGGGTAAGGTAGATTGGGTTCTTGTGGTAGGACATGGTCTTCCACACAGAAATGGTGCTCATCAACAGCATTCCGAGGCACCTTTAGAAGAATCAGACCATCAAGTCTGGCAGACCTGTCACATTCAATTCTCCAAAATGTCCAGAAGATTCTGAGACTCATCTCGAAAATGCCCATCTCCCCATGTCGAGACCGCCAAGGCTGTGCCTTTGCAGTGCGCTCGGCCGAGCAGGTGCAGTGCCTCCTGGCACACCGCGCTGACTTCCAATGCGCCGACGTGGGCGTCGCCACGCCGCCGTTGAACGGCGTCGCCAACTACGCGGATACGGCCACCGTGGCAGCGTTGCTGGCGGCGCGCTGCGAGCCGGACCATCCGCGAGACTTGGATGAGAAGGGGTGAAGGGAACGTGAGCAGGTCAGAGATGTTCAGAGCTCATGTTTTTAGTTGGCCTTTTGCGTCTACTAATGGTGCTTTTTGCGTCTATTTAACCATCACCGCCCATTGTACCAAGTACTTGTAGGTCAATGTTCTACTACGTCCAGCGCAATGAGCTGTGTGTGCAGCCAAGTTGGTAGACAAAGGGGCTGAAGATGGATCGGAAGTCACACTCAATCTATCATGTGATGCATCCTGGTTTTTGGTCCAAAATTCTTTCTGTGGAGGCTTTAGTCTACAGCCATTGTGGATCCATTGATCTTGCCAGGCAAGCGCCTGGCCCTTCACAGTTCGGCAGGGAGAACGGATCCGCTTTTGGAGATGGATCCACTATAAATTCCCCTGCACGTCCTTTTGTTTCACCTTTGTTTGGGGTCCACACCAGAAAACCCACCGATCCGACCGAACGGGCGTTCTCCATCAGGCTCCGCCACGATGGGGCCCTTGACCGCGTCGACGCTCTTCGGCCGGGGGAATCCCTACATTGCCTCGAACGTGCGGCTGCTGCTAGAACACAAGGTGCGGTGTGGGTGCGTGGCAAAGACGTGAGATGCGTACCTTTGTTCAGTGGGACCTTTTGTCAGTGTGTCGAGTCCTAGTATGCTAGGAGGGACGTGGATTCTAGGTGGATCACCTTTAATTAAGCTTCTAACACCTTTTCCATCCTTTTCCTATGGGAGATTGGGGACACGCCACGGAACAAGAAGAGGTGGACAGTGAGATGGTATACCTTCAGCATCCGATCGGCCCAGGGACCTGACTCTCAGCACCCGATCAACGGTGTTCAACCATAAAGTTTGTGGATTGCTGGAGATACGGTCGATGGTGGTGTTCAGATGTGCTGGAATCACTTGCCACGTTGGTTGTGTCAAATAGAGTGAGATCGTTCCAAAAATTGAATCTGGCCAGACATGAACAGTATCTCTGGGCCGCAAGGAATCCACAATATGTGTTGCAGTCCATGCGTGTGTGTGAGATGCATCCAGCACTGTAGTCTATGCGCATCTCCGTGCGCATCGACTCTTGGCTCAACTTCCGCGTGGTGCTTTGTAGAGGGATTGGCCCTAAACGGTCTTGGAATAGAGCCAAGGTAGTTCTGAGGGGTGTATAAACAGGGCTCGAATTAGCGTACCGGCGAATTTTCGTAGCCCCATCGTGTCGGTCGACACGGCCTTTTTCTGAGCCATAGCGGCGCGCTCGCCGAACTGGCACAGAGCACAAAGAGCAAAGAGGAGCAAAGCCAGGCTCCTTTTGAGGAGTTCCAAGGTTAAGCTTTGGACTTCTACAAGGCTCGCTGCCAAGCTGGTGAAAGCCAAGCACCTCTTGGAGTCCCATCATACTGTACCCCGTTACAGTATACCTGTGCTGGATAGCCCAAGGAAGATGCCATGGTCCAAATGGCAAGGTCAAGGGAAGACTCAGCAATGGGGAGAATGGGAAAAGCCTGCGAAGAAGGGCAAAAAAAAAGGAGGAAAAGGGCAAGCAGCCGATTCTATACGGCTGGGACGGCAAGAAGATCGAGGTCAAGAAGGATGGAATAGCAAAGTCAGGCTCTTCATCTGGATACTCCTCTTCGGATGCCTCTTTACGAGAGGAGAATCGCAGGATCAAGGAAGTCGTGAGGAACATCCTTGGGAACGAAGAGCAGACGGAAGAGGACATCCAGGCCTTGAGAGAATTTGCCAAGGTAGACCCGCGGGAAGATTTGAAGGAGCGTCAACGGCAGCTCAACTCCGAGCGTTCCCTCAACAAGACCGCGAGGATCAAAGAAGTGATGGAGGAGCAAGAGACCAATTTCAAGAGTTGGAGGGACACCTACACTGCTGGATTGGAGCAAGAGGAAAAGCGATATCAATCCAAGATGGCAGAGCTTCGAGAAGAGTTGAAAGCAGCAGAGAAAGGAGATGCCGAGGAGAAAGACCAAGGTGCCATGGACGAAGAACAGACAGAGCTTTCTGTTCCAGTCTATGTACAACAAGAGCTGTCGGACCTGAGGAACCAGATGAGACAGTTCATGAACTATGCGCACCAGATGGAGCAGAAGAATGCTGCTTTGACAGACCAAGTTACTACTTTGGTAGCAACTCTACAGAGCAGGGAGCGCATCATATCTCCTGCACAGTCTCCGCAGCATCCAGTTCCTCGTATGAGCCATACGGAAGTCTCCTCGAATTTGCCAACAATGGTTCCAGACGAAGAGAAACGCGAGAGGTCGAGATCCCCCTCCAGGAAGGCACAGAAGATCGAGCACAAGTTGGACCCAGAAGAGTTCAAATGCCTCCTGGAGACTGTGTCGGAAAGGCATCAAGCTGTCATCCTGAATGCTATCCATGGGGAGCCGGAGAAGTTCTCATCCATCGAGGATGTGAAACCCCTTATCCGAGCAGCTGTCGAGGCCGACAAGAAACTGCATTTGACGGTTGTACAAGAGGATCTCGCAAAGGGCGGCTCTGCCTTGGTGCCCTTTGGGAAGATGCACAAGTCAGACAAGACGGAGCGGAGCAATGTCAGTCCCTATGGACGAGTTCGGCAGAAGAGCAAGGAAGATGGTGGCTTGGAAGGCTTGGATATGTAGCAGCTTTCCTTTTTCATCTTGATCCCTTTAGGGTAGGAGGTTGCGCCATATTTCAAGGCAGCAACCTACCATTTTGGGTTCTGGGTGCCAGCAGAAAGCTTGGAGGTCACTTCCTATCCCTTTTTGAAATGGTGATAGGTCTAATCTTTGGGTTATGCAAAAGAGGGTTTGAGAGCATTTTGAACATCTCTGCCTACTTTTGCCGTCATGATCTTCGCGGAGTCGATTGGGCTATGAGCTGTGCCGCAAGTGTATTGCGCATAGGTCCTTTTCCCTTTAGCCTTCTGGCTGCTGCAAATCAAATTCTTTTCCTGGTGTGGGCTGCTTCGTGCGTAAGTGGGTTCGCTGAAGTTACATCCTGGGCGAGGATTTACATGAGTTCGAGACGTAACAGAATCTTCCCGGTGCCAAACGATGAGTCCTGCTACAGTGCTGGTCTGAAGCTTGGAATATCTGGGATCATAAACCTATGGTTTTTGGAATCTATACCATTCGGTGCTGATGAAACTTGGGGAATCCAATTTTTCCGGCACCTTTGGCGATTGAACGGAGCTGGCCTTTTCTTGTGTGCCTTTTGCATCTATTACCGTCTCAGATGGAATGATAGGATCACAAGTCCGGCAAGATGTGCCTTTGTCCAAAGACAGCGCATTGTATGCACTCCTCGCAAGTGTACTAGAGTAAAATGGAAAGGGGTGTTCCTTTTGCTCAATTGCGTTTGTGCACAATATCAACCTTTCATAAAAGACATAGATCTGCAGATGGATGTCAGCTCAGAGGAATTCTTTCCTCCTCCTGTGCCTACCTACCAGAGTTTGCACAGTGTAGAGACAATTGGCCCCTCTCGACCTTGTGGGGGTCATTTTTGTGATCAGCCTTTTCTGTCAAGGCCCGAAGGTTTTCCCAGTTGCTCCCTGAACTCCTCCTCCATGAGAACAGGGGACACTGGAAGTGTTCTCGCTTTCAAAGGCGATCGAGCAAATTGGCCCAGGCCGCAGTTTTGTCCACGTTTTGAGGACCCTGATTGCACGAGACTTAGAGGTCCTGATAGTGGTGACTCTTTCGATTTTGAGGAGAATGCCTTAATGCAAAGACAGACCGTACAAGATCAGCTAGCTGAATACATCCTTGATGTCTACGATGCTGGACTCTGGCAAGTCTCAACATGGGTGCATTTTTGGGACCAGAGGAACCAATGGTCTTTCCTGCACAGGTTTGTTCGTATAAGTGTCACACAACCTGTGAGAGAACAGCTCACTAGAGCTTGGAGAGATTATCAGGTCAGGCCCAATGTGCATGTTGTTACTGTTAGACCTGTGTCTAGGTTACCGGTCTTTCTACTTGTGCCAGTGCTCCCTGATGACTACTTTGTAGTTTTAGGTCAGGTGAGCACGCCAAATGCCAATTGGATGGGCACCCTGCTTTTTGGACCTGTCAGGAATTGGAGGGTTTCTGATTTGTTCGGACTTGCAGTGCCCGGAAACTTATGCGTCTGGCAGAATGATTGCACTCTTGCGATAGGGAACGCCATATATGATTGGTGGGCACGTCTGATCCTCTATGAGGGGGCCTTTATAGCCCTCCGTGAAGAAGGAAGAGATGACAATAGTTGCTCATCCACTGATGATGGGTCTGAGCTTTCCACGAATTCTTCTGACAGCAATCAATCATGGCCAGAGGATTTTCCAACGCAAGATGAGGTGTCATTTCTGCAACAAGGAGGGAACACTGCAACTCCTGTGATCGACCATTTTGGGCATGCGCAAGGAGCAAACACTGCAACTCCTTCTCTTTATGATGACGCTCACAGTAATACACAAGATAGGACTCTACAGGAGTCAGATGCCAACCTCTTTATGCAGCTGCCGTGGGAGCAGATGTTTGAAGAGGAAGAGAATAGTGGAATTGATTTCCTGCAGGCGGGAGCACCTTCAGGGGTTGCCTCTGAAACCATCTACCATGATGTTTTTCAACTCAGTCCTGCACAAGTACAGTTTGGTGACCCTTTGAGAGCATACCTTCGACACCGACTTGCAATTGGTGATAAGGTCTTTTTCACTGTGCACGTCTGGTTGATTAGTAGGGTTGTTGCTCCTTTTGCCGATGTTTGTGTCATGCACAATGAACGGTCCTACACGCAATCTTTGCTGACTGTTACTGCCGCCGTCATTGAGAGCCAGAGTTACTGGGTTGCCTTGGCGTCCCCTCAACCGCCACCACTCTCGCTCCGAGTTTTCCCAGTTGACCTTGTTCTCCTGACTGATGAGCAGTATCAGCGAGCTTTGCGAGTATACCTTGTTGATGTCTTATATCCAAGCAATCCTAAGCGGGTTGCAGTTTTGTATCAGACACATGAGACTGTACGAGACATCATCTTCAAGCTTGGATT